CTCCAGGTTGAGCTGTTGTTCAGCATCTTAGCTGTAGAGGGCAGTGTCACTGGCCCTCATATGTGGGATCTGAACCGGGGCCCTCTGGCGTCCCAAGTCAGCTCTTAATCAATGGGCCACTCGGCCGGCCCGTGGCTATACCATTTTACATTCTTGAACTTACTTGAAGGGGAAGAGCTGCAACAAATGTGTAAGGCTTCTATCTATTATATGCACTATTAGTTTTGATTTGCTAATATTTTGTGTAAAATCTTTGTATTTGTATAATAAGTGAATATGCCTGTAATTTTCCTTTCTCCTAATATCTTTATCCAGTTTTAGCATCAGAGTCATGCTGGTCTCATAAAATGAGTTGGAATTCCCCACTCCAAACATAATGCCTGTCACAGGGAGATGCACACATTTATTTATTAGTTGAATAAATGAAAGGTTAAATAAATGACTATAGAGGAGACAGAAGGGTCAAAAAATTTTTTTAAAAACTAGAAAAATATATGAATAGCTGCATATGACAGAATTTTTTAAAGTGGAACTTCATAGTTTTAACTGCTTTCTTAATGTTATTTGTGTGCTCTTTCTTCTTAGGATGAACATCTAATGTTACCTGCTCTGCTCCCAAAGTGGAATTCACTTTGTTAAAGCAGAATAGAAACCTTTCCAAGTTCTTATAATTTGTATCATATTCTGAGGTCCCAATTACTATGGTAGCTACAAAGAAGCAAATACAAGGAGGGGGGCCTAAGAGTGAGGAGAATGTGAATGAAGTGCACCATAACTGAAAAATTGACTTGTTGGAAATTATTGCTCCAAGGACATTTAGTAATTAAGGTTTTTGTGTGTCTAAGGACTTGGATAGGATAAGCACTGCAAATTATATCCAAAAATAACATCTTTTTGTTTCTTTTTAAAATATTGGCTCATAATCAGACCTGTGCAGACTATGTTATATTCTCAAGTTTCCACATAATGGATGAATGAATGAATTGATATATGTCAAAGCTGCTGTGTGGCATTTGAAATTCTCTTTAATTTTTAGCTTCAGTTGTGATTCTTTTTAAAACTTACTTACCTTCAAATTGGCATTACTTACACTTCCTTCTTTGGACTTCACTAATCTTAGATATTGAAAACAACAACATAATAACTTTTTATGACAGTTTCTCCCTATTCAGATTCAGACACTACATATGATAAGATGACCAGAAGCCATCCAAAGGAATGAATGTCTTAAGCACCTGAGCCAAACACATTGTACACTTGAGTAATATATTTGGCTCTAGGTATACAGGCAGCTGCAGCCAACATGAAAGCATATTCGATTCTATAGTAGCCATTGCCTGTCAATCGGAGGCAGATAAATTCATCTTTAGCAATAACATTTTTCCTCAAGTTCAACTTTCAGTTTCTCCTTTTCAAAGAGGTGTTACTTAAATTATTGTGTATTTGATTGTTGTAAGAACCAAACGAGAGCATATATTAACTTAATTAGTCCTTATAACAAGCCTGTGAGATAGGCACTATTATTATCCCCATTTTACAGATGAAATTGAGGAACAGAGAGGTTTAGTATCTTGCTCTAAAACAAACAACTAGTAAGTGGTATTCATACACAAGTGGTCTGGCTTCAGAGGCTCTCGCTTATTATGGTATGCTGCCTCTATGTGAAAATGCTTTTGTAGCTATAGGTAGATACTGTACAGATCTTAGTAGCAGATTTTATTAAGTATCCAACACTACTAGATTTTATGGGAGATATAAAGGAATCATAAGCCTGCCTTTGAAGAACTTACAATCTGGTTGGGGGGAGGAAATATAACACAGAAAAAAGCAATAATAGGGCTGCCTGTAAAATCACTGTCTCCCAGAGAACTCTGCATTTAGTAAACATATACCTTATTTTCTTGGAATGTTTGCATACACAGCATAAATTCTAGTGCATAGTAGACATATACGTAATGTTGGTTGAATGTGGATTTCCTTAAATAATATTATTCCCATTTTCACAGTGAGTAGACCTAAGTTAAGAATTCCTTGTACTTTCTTTCTGTGCCGTGGCTTGTGGTTCACTCATTTAGTTGGTTAAGCAATATCTTGACTGCCCCTCTTTTTTTTTTTACTTTTTATTTATTTTTTACAAATAAAAGTTATATGTATTTAAGATATACAAGGTGATATTTTGATATACGTAGACATTGTAAAGTGATCACCACAATCAAACTAATTAACATATTCATCACCTTAACTTTTTATAATATTTTTGAAGTAATTTCACATTTACAAAATGGTTATAAGCTTAGTAGCATAGTATAAAGATATATATCCTTTACCCAAATTCCCCAATGTTAACATTTGCTCTATCATTCTCTCTTTCTCTCTTACAATATATATTCAATATATATCATATGTATACACAATATGTTATATATAATTATTATTATTCTGAGCAATTTGAGAATAAGTTACAAACATCATTCCCTTTGCCTTTAAATATATCAGTGTGTATCCTTCTCCCCCCACCTCCCCACCCCTACCCAAAAAGGACAGTCTCTTAAAACAGGAAATTATATTGACACGGTAATTTAATCCATAGACCTTATTCAAACTTTGCTAGTTACCCTAATAATATCCTTTTAGAGCAATTTAAAAATCTTTTTCTTGACTGCCTGTGTTTTAAACATTGTGGTGAGTACGTGCTACGTAACACAGTGCTGAATTTGGTTCCAAGAGAAATGTGAGCAGGCGCCCTGTCCCCTGCTTAGCCATGTAAGCAGCACAAATGTCTTCTTTGTTTGACTTTCCTTCTTTTGTATGATTCAGTGGAGCAGCGTGACTTCATTGGAGTGGACAGCACAGGAAAGAGGCTGCTCTTCATGGCCAATGAAGCAGACTTGGATGACGAGCTGGTCATTAAGGGATCCATCCTGCAGAAGTAAGCCCTTGGGTTTTTCTTTTTGGCAATTCTTCTTGTCTTAAAACAAAATAAAACCACCCAGTGGATGGGAAAAAGGGAATGAAAACTAGATTATACTGTGTGAAATTGACAAAAGCATGTGAATATTTTCCCATGAGGTAGGACGAAGGCTTTTCTTCACCGCAAAAGCTTAGCTTTTTCCGTGTCTTTTCTTGCCAAGGTAGTCAAATCTTGCATAGGAGTGGGGCAAAGCTGCACGGGGACAACAGAGAACAGGACTGTCTTTCTGACAATGTTATAGAACTTCCTCTTTTAAAATTGTGGTAAACACACAACATATAGTTTATCATCTTAACCATTTTTAAGTGTACGGTTCAGTAGTGCTAAGTGTATTCATGTTGTTGTGAAACGGATCACCAGAACTTTTTCATCTTGCAAATCTGAAGTTCTATATCCATTAAACAACTCTCCTTCTCTCACCAGTCCCTGCTATTTATGTTTCTGTGAATTTGACTACTTTAGATATCTCATGTAAGTGGAATCATATAGTATTTGTCTTTTTGTCACTGGCTTATTTCGCTTAGTATAATGTCCTCAAGGTTCCTCCATGTTGTAGCATGTGTCAGAATTGCCTTCCTTTTTAAGGCTGCATAATATTCCATTGTGTATATACCACATTTTCTTTATCCATGTATCTGTTGATGGACATTTGAGGGCCTTCTACATCTTGTTATTGTAAATAATGCTGCAGTAAATATGGTATGCAAATATCCCTTTGAGGTCCTGCTTCGAATTCTTCTGGATATACATACACCCAGAAGTGGGATTGCTGGATCACAGTTCTATTTGTAATTTTTTGAGGAACCTCCATACTGTTTTCCATAGTGGTTGTACCGTTTTGCATCCCCACCAACAGTGCACAAGGGTTCCAATTTCTCCAACCAACACTTGTTATTTTCTATTTTTTTGATAGCAGCCACCTTAGTGGCTACACATAGGCCAACCCAGTCACATTTTTTTCAGTCAGCATTTATTGAGCACTTGCCCAGCTCATCAGAAGCCACCATACTCAAGAGTTTTACTGCCTGATGCAAGTGGATAGGAATGCTTAATAAGTATTTGAAGCCTGGATGAAATGAATGTGAGAGGAGTAAATTGGAGGAAAAATGCCTTACTTTTTGTTTTTGCTATCCAGCACAACAGAGGTAGGAAATATATTTCAGAGTATATATTTTAATGAAAATGAAGTTAAACTCCAGCTACAGCTGGCCCAATTACCCCTATGGATTAGAGTTCTATATTAGTGGCTTGTTTCATCTGTAAAAAATGTGTTTAAGTGACCAAAAAATAGTAGATATTATTATTATTGCTAAACAAACAGCTCTTGAAAAACATGCATAATATCACTTCCAGGTTAAAATGGCTATTTTAGTTTGCATCACAGAACTTTCTACTAATTCCTAATCAAATGTGAAAAATAAATTAATTAAAAAAAATTGGCAGAAATTTCAACAACAGCGAAGTAGGATAATTAAATGTAATTAAGCTTAAAAACTGGTGGCCAAGGAAAGAAAGAAAATTCTAATACAGAACAGAAAGGAATTAAGGTAGGCTCCAAACCGCCCTGTCACCACTCTCCAGAAGCCATATTGATATATTAATGAAAACCTGCAAATTCTCACTAATATTTCCAAATCTGGAAAGAAGCAAACTGGGTACATATCTATACCTTTATCTTCTTCAGACTGAAAAGTAATGGGAGCAACTGCTGGGGAGTAAATGATGAAGCAGGAGAAATGAATGAGGCTGACTCTTTAATAGAAACAAAAGATCTAAGCCTAAACAATGAACAGGTGAAATAATATAAAGTGGAGACTTATTCCTCCATAGGAATGGAATGTAACCTTAATTATGTGGAATGAAACAAGAATATTTAACAGACTCTCAGGAAAGAGAAATATTCTAACAAAAACACCTTAGCTGTGTTCCCTGTACCCCTTCCATCCTTCCCACTCACATCATGCCCTGAAGCCACAGAAAAGTACATAGAATACAAAATAACCAGCACTCACATGGTAGTGGTCTCAGATACAGAAGGATGAGAGACAAGAATTCATCTATATTATATCAAAACAAATAAAACAAGCATGAACAAGACCAAAAGAATCAGCATGTCAGCTGTGTAAACATACAGCAAACAAAATTAAAGCAAGAAAAATGCCCTGCCAAGGACAAAGAACCTATCTGAAAAAAAACATAACTCAATAAATACAAAGAATTTCTTTTTTTTTTCCTTTCCCCCTCTCCTTTCCTCCTCCCCCTGCCTCCCTCCTCCCTCTCCCCTCTCCCCTCCTCTCCCCCGGTCCCCCAACACTAGAAACTATAAAGCAATGGAGGAACACTTTCAAAATTCTTAAATCTATATCTAGTCAAACTCTCAATCAAGTGTGAGAGTAGCATAAGAACTTTTAAGACATTTGTTTTTCATGCACCTGTTTTCAGAAAGCTGCTAGAGGATATATAACACCAAAACCCTAAAGAAAAAAAATATGTAAAACCCTGGCATAAACTAAGAAAGCGAAAGACATAGGATAAAGGAAAAAGAATACCTAGGATGATGGTGAAGTGAGATTCTAGGATAACACCTGTGCAACCAGTATAAATGCAACCAGACAAGATTGGAATAGGTCAGAAAGCTTTGGGAACGATTTCTTCAAGATGATCACATTTATTCTGATGAAAATGACAGAATACTTGATGTGTCTCCACATTTTGAGAGGCATTTTAAGCACTTGGTGGTTAATTTGGGGGTTGAATTATTGATAAGTATCTGGAAAACTAAGAAATGAGAAGACAGTAATGACAAGTCAAACAACAAAAACGTGCAGGAAAGAATTATTCATTTACTGAAAATGGCTGAGCTATAACTGATGTTTATATATGCATAATAATGTAATCACTGACTCAATCTAACCAAAATTATGATATACTTACTTTGGAATGATGGGAATGAAGGTTAGTGTGTTGGAGGCAGAACGGAAGAAAAGGGAGATAAACTTCCTTTTTCATGGTTAGTAGGTAATACCTAAAGCTGAAGTCATAATAACTTAAAATTTTATTATTGAGCTAACCAAAATAATGAAAAATTGGGAAGGTAGAAGGTATAGGAAGTATGTGTGTATGTGGTGAGGGCAGGGCTGGTGATAAAAGAAAGCCACAGGCTCATCTTCCATAGTGGGAAATCCACAGATAATGTCTGAAGTGGGAAAACTAAGAAATAGCAATATAAGCATCTTATTAGAAAGATAGATATAAATACTATTATAAATGGATCCTCTAAAAGAATTGAAAGTGGGTGCTTCTGGATAGCAGAAAATGGGGAAGAGAGGGAATATATAATTCCTTTATACATGAAATTTGTGATTGTAAGCCTTGAGAAACTATTTATGAGTGCATATATAACTCCAGTTTTAATTTTTAAAATTAAAAAACAATAAATACAATAAAATTAAAATTAAAAATACAATAAAATAAAATTTCCTGAATCAAGTAAAAATCTGCAAATTTTAAGAGTATAGTGTATTCTAAGAAAATTTGGTCAGATGTTTCCTAGTAAACTTATTAAACGTTATGGATAAAAAAAGAATTCTTCAAGCATCCAGAGGCAAAAAGCTAATCACTCATATGAGAGAAAAAAATTAAGCTTACCTCCAAGTTCTTCACCATATTCAATACCAGAGGAACAACATTGCAGAGTTCTCAAGGAAAGAAAGTGGAACTCAAGAATAGTATAAATAATGAAGATATCATTCAGATATAAAAACAATAGGAAGACATTCTCAAACATGACAAGACTCAAAAATATGGCATCCATGAACCCTTCTTGGAAAAAAAAACTTCTTGACAGTGAAGGTAGAATTGGATAAAAATAAAGAGTTGAATAATAAAGAGGCCATGGTAGTCATAAAACAAACGTGATATTTCTTAAGTAAAAAACAACTAAAACATTTATGCTGAGATAGTAACAATTAATTCTGGAAAGTGGAATTATGGATGATTATGAAGTTTTTCCTTGTACTTTTCCATCTTTTAAAATTTCCCCCAATTTAAAAAATTTTTTAAAACAAGCAAAACCCAATTGTAATAGATATGTATGATATTGGGGGTAGGAGGGGCAGTGGATTGTGGGAGGCGGGTTGTCACTTTGTGAGGGGTGAAAAGAATAACTATTGCATTGTTTTGTACACCTGAAACTAATAATTAAAAATTTAAAAAAAAAGAAAAAACCCACATGTACTATTTAAGAAGCCTAAAGACCTAAAGAGAGCAGGATTCAGGTGGTATTATTTCTGGTACAATCCAGTGGATGAAGACATTTCTGCATTTGACTTTAGCGTTGCTTTGGGGAAGTGGCCTTTCCTGGTTTAGTAGTAATGGCATAGATGCCGGAGGAGAGGCTTTGCTCCGGCTGAAGGAAGGAAGCCAGGTTACTCAGAACGCTTTCTGCAATGGACATAGCTAATGGCTTTCATTAGATTATTCCTTTCTTCCTTACCCAATGGCAAAAGCAAACCTGACTGAACTCTGCACCTTTCTATGCTGTTCAATTTTGTGGTAGTTTTTTTTTTTTAATTGGGGAAT